GTTTTCTCCAGCGATTGTCCTGATTCCCCAACCCCAACCCCAACCTAACTGAGCTAAGTCATTTAAGATGGCACCTCAAGCCTCGTGGGAAAGTTACCCAGTCAGGCGGGGTCTCTCTCCTGCACACAGGAGGTAGACATCTTCCATTCAGCTTCTCTGTGGCTTTTTCTCTTCTCCATTTGCCTGGTGCTTGTTTGATTATTTGCCCAGAAGAACCAAAGGGACGATTTCCTTTGTGTCCCAACAGCCCCAGCCGAGCCGGGGCAGGCTGCGAGCATCACAGGCCCCAGAGCTGATTCACCTCCCCCTGCTCCCTCTCAAGCTGGAAACCACACTGAGTGGGGAGTCCCCTCAGTTCCTCCCTCCCCAAACTGTCTAGGCGGAGGCCTGGTTGACCCTGAAGACTGGGGCCCTGTATTCAGAGCCAGCCTGCGTGAGAACATGTTCTGAATAGGAAAACTGAGCAGTCCAGGTCAGCTTCAGGCAAGGCTGGATCCAGAAGCACAAGCGTGTCATCAGAACTTGGGGTTCCTCTGGCCCTTGGCTCCCTCTGCTTCTGTCTGGGTGGACAGCAGTCACAGCCTCTCCCTGGCAGCTTAAGCTCATGCCCCCAAGGGACAAAACCAAATGTTTCTTCCCCTCCCAGCAACAAAAGGGGAAAAAAAAAAACCCAGGGCTCATTCTGATTGGATCAGCATGGGTCATGTGCCCAGCCTGAACCAATCAGTACCGGGCCCCTCAGAGCACTGATTGGTCAGATCCAAGTCACATGTTTCCCACTAGGCCCTGACTGAGTGGGGGAGGGCAAGTTCTCTGGAGTAAAGCTGGACACTATTTCAGGAGGTTGCTGCCAAGGGAGATGAAGGGGCGGCTGCTGGTGACAATCATAACAGCTGTCTCTTGGTACCTTCTGGAATCCTCAGCAGCAGCTCCTTGCTGTAAGGGGTCTGTTCTCTGCCAACAGCCTCGCATCTGGGCCCCAGCCTGGGCCTGGGAATGAGGTGTCTCAGTGACCAGCTGGCACTTCAGTTGCTACGGCAGCTCAAGAGAGCATGTCCCCTCCAAGCTGGGTCCCGTGGCTGTGCTCGAGCCCACAGAACCCACTGCAGCCCCTAGGCCTCCTCCGGGAATAAGACCCGTGTGGCTCACCTGGTGCAGAAGGCCAGTGGCCCAGGCCTCTGTGGTCATCCAGCCCTGTTCCCTAACTTGCACTCTCAGCACCTCGCTGACTTCAGACCCGCCCCTGTGAGTCTAGTTGAGGGGTCTGGAGGGGAGGGCCTGGAGCCGGATGGCCCCTTCTCTGCTGGCCCTGCCCTCGCCTAGGGGGAGGACAAGCAGCCGCATGGTAAAAGCAGGCCACACCACGTAAAGCCGGACCCCTGAAGCAGCCTGCACCAGGAGAGACCATGGAGTGGCCAGGGGCCTGTGGCAGGCTGGGCATCGGGGGTCTCGCTGGAGGGTCTGGGATCCCAGAGACCTTAGGACCCGGGCACCCGTGGCAGTGGAGGAGAGGGATGCCTGGGACAGCCTGGCAGGTGCCTCAAACGGAGTCCCTGACCCCAAGCCCACAAGCCAATCAGCCTAAAGCTCTGGGGCTGCAGTCAAGGGGTGATGTGTGCAGCCCTACAATAGCGCCCAAGGGTGCCCAAGAGCTGGGCTTACCCCAGAAGGATACATTCTAACAGAGCTAAGCAAAAGAGAGCTCGGGGGCCAGTGACCCCAGAGAAGTCAGCTGCAGCCTCCAATAAAAGAAGCAAGTCCCGGGCCTCCCTGGTGGTGCAAGGGGTTAAGAGGCAGCACTATGAAGCTATCGGTAGCCACTGCAGCACGAGTTCGATCCCTGGCCAGGGAGGTGACCCACATGGTGCAACAGACCTCTCCTATCTCCCCGCTGCTCCCCTCAGCAGTGGATTTCGGTAAATCTGCCTGTTCTGCTCCCCACTCTGTCTCTGGGGAATTCTCTCACCGCCCCGCACACCTCTGACCTGTACCCCAGTTCTTGTATGCACAATTAAATAATCTTTGAAAAAGAAGCAGCAGCAGCAAGTCCCTGGGAGGGGCCATTTGCTGCCCAGAGGAAAAGCTTGGGGAATGACCACTGACTCATGTCTGACTGGGGCTCCAGTAACAGACAGGGCAGAAGGTCTACTGGAGGGGGTGGTGTTCAGGTTGTGTGCCCTGGGGCCAGGCCCTCTCCCCTCCCCCCATGCCCCCCCACCCCAGCTCTAGCCTGCACTGAGCAGAACCCAGGGGAGAACCTGCAGGCCTTCTGTGTCCACCAGAGGGCGCCCGCCCCTCGCAAATCTTCTGACTTGGGCTCTGGTTGGCCAGTCCTTGCCTTTGGGGGGGACTTGGGGAGTGGGCACAAAAGGACTCTGGCCCTTGAGGGCAGGCCCCCAGAGAGCAGCCAGTCAAGTGCTGAGCTCAGGACTAGAGAAAGTGGATTTGCCAAAGGGGCTTCTCCAGGTCAAACTTTTGGTGGGGTGGGGAGTATGGCTGGGACACAGGGTACGTGCAGACTTAGGGCCCAAAGAAAGGCAGCCATGCACCCTGGCAGTGCCTCATGCTACTAGTCCCACAGTGCAGAGGGGGAGATTGAGGCCCAGCTGGGCTCGGCTACTTGCCCCACATTAACATGGCTGCCATGTAACATGTCTGTCTGGATGCAGCTAAACTTCTCCCCACTTTCTGGAGGTTTTAGGAGTAGCATTTGGGAGCAGGGCCGCAGCCAGAGGCTTGTGGGCCAGACCTAAGGCCAACTACACATGTTGTCTGTTATGTGGTCTTCCTGCTCCTTCCACTGCCTCAGAGACCCCTGGTGGGCTCTGGGCCTTGTGAACATTGTAGGACTGAGAAGCTCTGGGTAGCAAGATCCCACGGTCAGTCTTACTCAAGAGGCCAGTGGCCCCGCCCACACCAGGGACATGAGGTGGGCCCACAGGGTCAGAGGGACCCTCCCACCAGAGCCTCCCTCAAGTCTGACTCTGACCCTGGCAGCAGCCTGGAGACAGCTCCATGGAGACAGCCAGCCCAGAGTCTCCAGCCACTTTGAAGGGCGAGGCCCTCCCAGAACACAGGCACCGGACAAGGCCACAAATGTGGCAAGGCCCTGGCAGGTCAGGGAGAGGGGCCAGTCTCTAACCCCTTTCTATGCCTGTGAACTTAGGGGGCGCCTGGTACCAAGAGCATCCAGTACCCACGAGTGAAACCTCAGAGCAAGTCTGTGAGTCAGAGGTTCCTGTGTCAGGAACAGCAAGTGCAAAGGCCCTGAGGGAGGATCAAGCCTGCTCTGGGGAGGCTGACAGGAGAGGTGGCCTGGTGTGAGGGCTTTTTCACTTGGAGGGACAGTGCCCTTTCCTTTCTCTGGCCCACCTGGTCTACACCTGTATCTGGGTTACTGTGGCCAACCCAGGCCACTCTCCTGCCCCCCAGACCAGCACACCCAGCAGCCTCCATGCAGCTCAATCTCAAAGGCGGTGACCTTGATCTCCTGCTCCTATCCTGAGGCAAACACTGCCTCCCTGTGCCCAAGGGCTCTGCCAGTCCTGGTGGGAGAACTGCCCCCAATGTCCCATCCAAACCTTGCTGCTTGGCCCATGTGATATCTTAAATTCGCCCCCTCTCTCCCTCCCAACACCTCCTCTTAATCCAGGCCCCCTACATCTGCAGAGGTCACTTTCAGGTTTTTTGGCTTCAACTTCCTCCGTGGCATCCCCCAATCCTCACCGGCTAAGCATCCTCCTGGGTCAGGGCTTGCCAGTGCACCTTCCCTCCCCTTGTCAGTCCTTTCAGTTTCAGTCACCTCCCGCTGGGCCCGCTTGTCCACACATTCAGCACACCTTGCCCAGGACCCAGGACAACAGGTGACTGTCCTTAAGGACCCCCACCCCTGCACCCACTGAAGTCAGCTTGGAGACAGATGATACCTTAATGCAGATGGTGGGGGCCTCAGGACCACTTCCAGCTGAGGCAAGTGACTGCCCCTTCACACACCCAGGGGTATCACTTGGACCCCATGACATGAGGCATCTGTAAGATGCATTGCCGGGAGGGCAGAGCCGGCCCAGGACCACCCAGCTGGTGGCGGGGTGGGGACAGAAGCAAACATCTTTGCACCCAAGCCCATGCCCAGCACCCTCCTGAAGGCTGAGATCTGCAGTTTCACAGGATGACACCACCCCGAGCCCCAGAAGTCTGTCCTGTGCACACCAGCATGGAGACCCATGCCCTAGAGAACGGGCTCACTTGTGGATGCCAGGCTAGGAAATGTGATTCCAAACTGTTCTTAAAGGAGAGCTAAAAGCACAGCAGACCCCTCCTGACTCACTGGCTGCTCCCCTCAGCAGTGTGTCTGTCTGCCTGTTCCGCTCCCCACTGTCTATGGTGAGTCCTGTCAACCCCTCACACCCCTGGCCTGTACCCCAGTTCCTGTGTACATCTCTAGGAAAGCTGGAGCTTGGGGTCATTTCATTGGACTTTGCTGTCCACAACCTGCTATCAAGTTACCTCCCACCTACTGTTGTACTCCTGGGGCCCACCACTCACTATGGAGTGTCAGCTTGGTGACCCGGGAAACCAGTGGGGGTTGGGAGGGAGGTGCGACGAAGCACCACTAGGGGGAGACACCTAGTGGCTGAGCTGAAGGGGTGAGGCACTGGAGGGCAGAGCTATCAGGGGTCCCATAGGGATCTCAGGTGTGGACCCAGGTTCACCCTTCTGCCTTTGCCGCCTCAGGGTTCCCGAGCCCCACGTGGCCTGTTCCCCTAGGTGGCCAGGGTCTGTGGGCTTCCTTCCAGGGCTCTCAGAAGGGACCAGTCCTGCCAATCACTCCTCCACCCGCCCATGAAGGCCTGGGGGCCAGCTTTGGCCAGACAGCACCCACCACCCCCAGCTGCCCCCCGAGACCACAGAGCCTCAGCTGGAGATCCTGCCACGGGGGGAGGGGGGGTCATCGGTCTGAAGTGAAAACAACAAACACAAAAAACCAGGCTCCAGACAGCTTTGTTAGAACAAGTCCGCAAAATAAAATCCTGTTTATTGTTGGACAACATGTTTCACACATACATCAGACAGGCCAAAAAAAAATAAACAGCAACTTCAAATAGACAAAAAGGAAAAAAAGAAACCTTTAATCTTTGGCCTTTTTAACCATCTCATACAAACCAACTACTTATAGTACAGCTAAGTACATACACAAAAAAAAGTTACTGGAATGCTCGGAATAAGATTGTTTTTTTGTTGTTGTTTTTGCTTTTTTTACAAGGTTTTTTTTCTCCTTTTGAGATTATAATGAACATGGTCACACCACAAGTAAAGTCAGAAGTAGGACAGAGAACTCTCCGAAGGCGGGTTTGGTCATCCGAGATCATTAAAAATGGCTGACCCCTAACAATATGTACAAAAATATAAAATGTAAATAAAAAATACAAACAAATTTTCCTTTTTAAAGTACTTTTAAGAAAAAAAGCAGGGCCTTGGAAGTTTTGGTTCGTTTCTCTCCCGTTTGCGAATTCTCGGTGTGGCGGGGGCGGCGCGGCGGGCTCTCTACTCGAGGGTGACCACGTTTAGATTCTGAGACGGGAAGTGGAGGGTGAACAGGTCACGGCGGCCTTCTTTCCACGGTGCAACTCTTCCTCTCCTGCCGTCTAGTCGTCCTCGTCGGTCTTCTGCTTCTTGGTGTCCACGTCGTCGTCCTGGGCAGGGGAGAGCGTCAGGCCCGCCCGCAGCCCCGCCCGGGCCCGGCGCCCCGAGACGCGCCCCCGCGGCGAGCCCCGGCCCGGCCCGGCCCACCGACCCACCTCGTCGTCCTCGGCCGCCCGCTTGCCCGTGGCTGCCTCGGCCTCCTCGTCCTCGTCGCCATCCTCCTCCTCACCTGGGGACGGGCGCAGGTAAGGCCGGCGCCGCCCTCTCCGGCGCGCGGTGCTGAGGGAGAGGGCGGCGCCCCCACCCGCCGGCCCCGCCCCCGTGCCAGCCGCGCGGGCCGGGACTCCGGGACCGGGCCAGGCCGCTACTCACCGTCGCCTTCCTCCTCCTCCTCCTCTTCCTCCCCGCCCTCTTCCTCCTCCTCGTCTACCTCATTGTCGGCCTCCTGCTCCCCGTTCTCCTCGTTCTGCGCGGACGAAACAGGCCGTCAGGGGCCGGGCGCCCGCCCCTCCCCCCGCCCGCCCCGGCGCGCGCGCGGCACTCACGGCGTTGCCGTTGGCGGGGGCGTCCCGGCCGTTCTCCGCCTCCTCCACGACTTCCTTCTTCTCCTTCAGGTCCTGCGGGCGAGGAAGCGGTCACCGCGCGCCCCGGGCCGCCCGGACGCAGGTGAGCGCCGCGGGGAGCAAGGGGGGCGGCCAGGCCGCTCGGAGCCCCCCAGGAGCCGACCCGCCGGCGCCCCCCAACCCGCGCCTCACACGCCCGGCTTGGGCGCGGGTCTGCGAGCCCTGCCCGGGGCCGGCGCCCGCCCCCGGAGCCGCGCCGAAGGCCGGGCCGCCACGGCGCCCCACGAGGAGCGTCGCGCGGGCCGGGCGCGCCCAGGGCCGGCCTCGGGCCACCTGTGGGCCCCGTTACCCCGATTCGGGGGCGAGCGAGGCCGGGCTCGGCCCGCGCCCGCCCCCTGGCGGCCAAGGCCCGGGGGAGCGGTGGGGGCGGGGAGGCCGCGGCGCGCAGGCGCAGAGCCCCCGCCCGGCGGGCTTTGCGCGGGCCTCGGCACGCACGGCGCGCGCGGAGCACGTGGCCCGCGGCGGCCGCGGCGGCCGCCCCTGACCCGGAGACGCACCGCCCCGGCCGCGCTCGCCCCCCGCCGGCGCGCGGGCCGCAGGCAGGTCCTTCCGGGCTCGGGGAACCCCCTCCCCGCCAGCGGGGGCCGCGGGTGCGCCCCTGCGTTTGGCGGGCAAAGTCCCACGGGAGGGCACCCCGAAGTCCGCGGGGCTTTTCCAGCCCCGCAGCCCGCGGCCGTCGGGGACCCCGTCCGCGCGGCGGCTCGCGGCCGGGCGGGAAGCCGCCCTGCGGGGAGGCGAGCGCCGAGCCGCGCGGGCAGGGCCGGCTCCCCTCGCTCCGCGCGGGCCCGGAGGGGGCCGCCCGCGCGCCTGCGGAGACCCGGGCCGCCAGCTCCCCGCGCCGGGGGAGTCGCCCCTGGGAGCGCGCCAGAGGTGACGCCAGGGGCGCCGGATTAAGGAGACGCCAAGGTGACTCGCGCCGTCCCCGCAGAGGCGCCGCCGGGAGCAGCGGACGGCCCGGCGCTGTGCCGCGCTCGGAGCAGGGCGGACGCGGCCTCCGGGCGGGCGGGCGGCCGGGCCGGTGCGGGACGCGCCAAGCGCGCAGGACACATCCCGGGGCGTGCAGCGCACGCGGGACCCGCCGGCCCCGGCCCGCAGCGGCTTTTGTTCGCCGCCCCGGAGGGCCGCGCACGGAGCCCCCGGGCCGCCGCGGGGGCGCCCATCGCCGCCCGGCGCGCCGCGCCTCCACTTTCCGTTTCCTCCCCCTCCGGCGCGTGGGCTCGCGGCCGCCCAGCCCGCCGGCGCGCGGCTGCTCGGCAGAGCCGGGCGGCCCGCTCCCTCCCGAGGGCGCCCGCGGCGGCGCGGCCCTTCACACCTCCGCGGGGACCATCGACGCCGCGGCCGGCCCGGCGCGCCGCCCCGGCCCGCCTTACCGGGCTCCGTCGCGACGAGCCGCCCCGAGCCGCGGCAGCGCGCGAACCCGGCGGCCCCACCGCGAACAAAAGAGCCGCGGAGCCGCCGCTCCCCGCAGCCGGCCGCACGCGTCCGGCACTTCCGACCCCGCGCGCTCGAGTTTCAAAGTTATTTCCGTGCGCCCGGCGGGCTCGCGACCCCGGCTGGGCCCGGCCCCCGCCTCGCCGCCAGCAAGTTCCGAGAGCAGGCGCCGCCGCCGCGCGCCCCGGCTCCGCGCCCGCCCGCCCGCCCGCCGGCCCGGCGGCTCCGACGGGCATCGCCTGCCCGCGGCGCCCCCCGCCCCCTCCCCCAGACACAAAGGCCGGCGGCCGAGGGGCCCCGGCAGGGGCGGGCGGGATCCCCGCGGCAGCGCCGGCGCGCGCCGACCCCGCCGGGCCCGCGTGCCCCCCACCCCCGGCGGCGCGCGCGGCCCCGAAGGGGCGGGCGGCGTCCAGCCTCACCTTGGTGGTGATTTCGGAGCTGGTGTCCACGGCCGCGTCTGACATGGTGGGGCACGCCGGTGATCCGAGCAGCGGGCGAGAGAGAGGCGAGTTCGGGGCCCTGGCGGGATCTGCCCGAGTCCGCGGCGGCGGGGGAGGCGCGCGGCGGAGGAGGCTGCGGCGAGCCGAGACGGCACCCGGGAACAATGCAAAGATGGCTTTTCGGAGCAGCCAGTGGGGAACTCACGCGGCGCCAGAACCTTTAATATAGATTAGTGGGCGGCGCTCGGCCGCCCTTTCCGCGCTGCTATTGGCCGGAGGGAGGGAGCGGGCGCCCGCTCATTGGCTCGACTCCGAACAATGGGCAAACGTGCTTAAAGCGGCAGAGCCTCGGCCGCCCCGCGCCGCGCAGTCGCCGGCCGCTCTGTCATTCAAGGCCCGCGTCCGCGGGGTCTCGGCGGCGCCGGCGCCGCGGGGGAGGGGCGCGCGGGCGCGCTCGGGGCGCGCGCTCCCGCCGCTGTTTTGCTGGGGCTGCTGACGCAGAAAGTCAAAGCGCGGCAAAGCCGCCCGCCCAGCGCCGGCCCCTCCCGCGGTTGCTCGGAAGGAGGGGGAGGGCGCGGGAGGCGGCGGGCGCTCGCGACGGCTGCCAGCGAGGGGGAGGGGAGCGCCGGGCGCCGGGCGCGCTCGCCCGGGGCGGCGCCCTGCGCGGTGCCCGCGGACATGCCCGGCCCCCGACCGGGCGCCCTCGACCAGCAGCCGTCCCGGCGCGTGGCGGGAGCCCCGGGACAGGCGACGAGGCCTCGAGGCCGAGGCCCGCGAGTCCGGGCCCCCCGTCTCGCCAGGGCGCGCCCCCGCGTCCTTGGAGGGTGGCCCCGGGCCCCGCCATCGCCCGGGCGTCCGGGCCGGAGGCTGCAGCGGCGCGGGCACCGTGCCAAGCGCACACGGGGGTTCCCGCATCGAGGGGCGCGAGGCCTGGTCGAGCGCCGGCCCTCGAACGGGACGGCCCGCGGGCGTCCGCCGCGCAGCGGGCCCGCCCCCCGGCGTCCTGGACGGCGCCGGCCCGGGCGCCCTGCCGTCGCGGCAGCCCCGGGGCCGCCCTCAGGCCCGGCCAGCGGGGCGCGCCTCTGCCTCCCCGCCTGGGGCGCCGGGGCACGTGCACTTAGACGCTGTCGGGGTGGGGCAGCGATGCTCCCCTAGCCCGGCTGGGCTAGTCCTTGGGGGCTCCTTGAAGTTCGGGGCGCCATTTAGAGAACCACGCGGAGCCCCGAGAAGAGAGCTAGCACTCGCCACACTCAAGATGGCGTTGGACGCCGCAAGCGTGGCGTGACGTGGCGCTGCAGCCCACGTGGGGGAGTCAGACGTCGTGGGCCGCGTCCTCCTCGTCGCCGCCGCGCTTGGCTGTCGAACTGAGGGACCTGGGGTATGAGTGGAAAGATCAGAAAAGGCGGAAAAACGTTCCAGAATGAAAACTGTGCCACACACAAGATGGCGACAGATGCTGTTCATTGCTCTGTCGCCAGAAGGGGGCGCCCGACACGGAAGGCGGGACTCCGGGGAGGCGAGCGCGCATTGGCTGAGAGTGGCGGGCGAACACAAAGTTGACGCTTTGCGTCCTGCCATTGGCGGGCTCCGCTGTCCGTCTCTTGGGGCACCGGGTCTGGGAATGGAGAAAACCCGGAGTCTGGGATCCTGGAGCGCGGGAGGCTGCCAGGGCGGTAGATCGTGAAGTCGGGGGCGAGAGAGGGGCCTGTGGCCCTTCCCGATGGTCTTAGACGGGAGACCGTCGCCCCCGTTCCCCCCGCGAGGCCCCCCGGGCTGTGCCTGCCAGGCGCGCCCCGGGCTCGGCGCCCGGCTGGGAGGCGGCGTGGGCGTCAGGGCGCCACCGGGCACGGGCCCGTCCCCCGCGCCCGCCCCACTGGCGTGCCTGCAGCACCCCCTCTCCTCGGCCGGGCCCGTGGCTGCCCTGGTGGGCTTCCCCGAATCCGGGCAGAAGCCCCGGCCCCCTGCCCTTTGGCCGTGAGAAACGAGGGGCAGGTGCCGGGCAGGGCGGGGGCGCCGGCCGCAGCCGTCCCGCCCAGGGGCGCAGCGGCGGAGCGGGCGCCCGCGGGGTCTCCTGCCTGCCCCCCGGCTGCCCCAGGGGGTTCTCCCCGGTGGGCGCGCGCCAGTGCGCGGGACTCTCACAATGGTGTCCCCGGGGACCACGCGTCCCAACTCTTTGTTTTCGGTTCCCTCCCGCCCGCCGCCAGCAGCCTCTATTGCGACGCAGACCCGAGGCCCCCCCTGCGCCCCAGAGAAGGGCCGGGCTCCTCGGCCGCTGCCGCCGCGACCCCTCTTTGTGCCACCTCTGTGGAGAAGTGAGGGGATTCTGAGGCGTAGTAGACGGGCAGGAGAGCCTCTCCACCTGCGGCGCTTCCCTCGAGCTCTGGTTGCCCTTGCAGGGAATGCTCAGCCCACGAAATCCCGTGCAGCCGGAGCTTAGTCTGTGCCTCATCTAAGCCACTGGGTCTTCATCCCTGTCTGGATGGTGACCTCAGACATCTGTCTCTGCCTCCAGAGCTGAAAATTAGACATGACGGTTCTGGAGCCCAGACATGAGGGGTGGGGGTAGATACCCTGGAGGAGCCAGGTAAATGTGACTTTCCCGGGAACAACTGCTTTGCCTGGCCCTGTGGGCATGCAGCTGGCTTTGCTAGAAGTGAATAAGGAAGGTTCTGGAACTAGCTCTTACATTCATCACTCTCTGAGCACCTGCTGTATACATGACTGAGCCTTTGACTCATGCTTCAAGCATCTTCAATTATTCTCTGCATCTTGCAAGATAGGTTGGACAATTACAGGGTTGGATCATAAGAAAATGATGATTTTGTAGGTCAAGACCAATTGAAAATAAGCAAATGTTAGGTTCGACCTCTAATGTGTTATCACTCTCCTTTTAACAAGTCAAAAAGGGAGAGCAAGGCATTGTCACAAAGGAATGGGAGTAACCGAGTGAGCCCATGACCGGACTGTGACTCCATGCCAGAGTGGAGGACTGCCCGTTAGACCAGCCCCAGAGCACAAGGGACCTCCTGGGGCCTCCTCCCGGCTGTGGGAGCACGGATGCTGACGGCTCTGCAGTGCTGGAGTTATTCAAGCTCCAGTGACAGGGCCACCTGGGTCACTGTTTCCAAACAGGCTGATCTTCCCGGGTCACATTCATTCCCCAGTCACATTCATTCTGCCCTTTGCAGAAGAGGAGACAGGAGGCCAGGCCACTTCTGTAGGCTAACACCCCCACCCCCAAAAAAAACCTTGTCTACCTGGTAGGCCACATTTCCCAGCCAGGGTCTATTTACCACCCAAAGTGCAATTGGCTTAGGTCAGAGCTGCCCTAAGACGGCCCGGTTTGGCCTCCAGGCAAGTTTTGTTTTTAGGGAATTTGCTGGTACATTCTCCAGTTGGACTACAACAGGCCTTTCCCTGCTGGGCCTGATTCGCATACACTCACTTCACCTGCCCGGTGCTGTAGCCACTTAAGTTTGCAACCCTGGCTTCCCAGTGAGTTTGTAATTGCTTGGCTCACCTGAGTGCCAAAAGACTAGAAAGAGCATAAATGCTGGTTAAAGTTGCCAGGGTTCAAATCCCCAACCCAGCTACCCACTCTCTTTGTGAAACTGGGCAAGTCACTTCCTCATCACTGAACAACGGCGGCAACAGTAGGATGTGCCTTCCAGGGCTGTGGTGGGAAACTGACACGTTTCTATTCAGAAATCAGAGCCTCCCTGGTGGCACAGGGGGTTAAGTCTCAGCGCTATGAAGCAATCTACATCCACTGCAGCTTGAGTTCAATCCCCGGCTAGGGAGCTACCCACATGGTGCAGCAGACTTCTGTTTCCCCGCTGCTCCCCTCAGCAGTGGATTCCAGTAGATCCACCTATTCTGCTCCCCCCTCTGTCTCTGGTGAATCTTCTCAAACCCCCCCCCCCCCGCCCCTGCACCTCTGGCCTATACCCCAGTTCTTGTTTACATACATAAATAAATAAAATAAATCTTTTTAAAAATTCAGAAAGTGATTAAAATGGAGTCTGGAAGATTCAGGAGGGCCGTCAGTATGCTGTTGACCCCATTTTCTAGTTTCGCAGTGTTTTCAAGACTCTAGACAAAGCAACATTATCTCCCACAAATTCTTCATAAATTTGGGGCGAAGTGAGGGCACCAGCCTAGCTGAATTTTAGAAGTCTGTGACTCGATGCCCAACAGGCTTGGCTGCCCCTCTGGCCTCAGAGGAATGACAGAGTCAGGGAGGCCGCCTGAGTGGAACAGGCCTCAAAAAATCCCACCTTCCCGCCCTTCAGAAGCCCAGGTGTTCAGGCTGTGGTTTCCATGCCCAGGCATGGAACTGCCAGTGGGTCTTTCAACTCTCCCGCCTGCTGAGCTGCGCTGGGATTGTGCAAGAGAGCCCCCTCCTTCCATCCTCCCCCCAACAACCCCCCCCTCCACAGGCCTGCTCCCTGGTGCAGCACGCCTGGGCCTGCCCACTCCCGGAGGAACTGAGCCAAAGGCCCTGCTCCTGGTACCCACACAGGTCTGGCCACCCCAAGAGGCTCCTGCCTGGCAGGGTGAGGGTGGGGAACAGCTCTTGAAGATTGGGGCCTATCCCCTGTGGATGCAAACTGGAGCCTGGGTTGGAGACAGGTGAGGAGCTGGGGGAGGCATGTGTGTTGTGGCCCTGGCCAGCACACCCATTCCATGGCGCCATTTCTAGAAACTCCTCATGCATGTACCCCCCACAGCGTCTCCAGGAATCCTGTCTCCCCATGCCTTTCCCAGCCCCCTTCATCCACCTGTTGACATGCACCATCCCCTTAGGTGTTCTGCTTCAGCTCTATGTACTGCTTGTGCGTGCGTGGGCCCAGCACCCTGGTGGCAAGAGAAGATGCCAGTCGGGGGAGTTACTGTGTGTGCTGGCACCTGGCTGCCTGCTTATGAGCGCCTGAGAGAGCAGTGCACCCAAAGAAAGGTTAGACACCCGTATGTGACCGTCAGGAGGCATATAACTGGGCACCTCCACACCCATGTCTTCCGGCCTCACAGCCCTAAGTGGGAACCCCACGAGACAGGAGTCTCGGCTGGACCCTTGCCAAGGGTCTGTGCCCTGGGCCAGAGCAGAAGTCCCTGCCCAGGTAAGGAGGTGGACGAGAGGCGGGCTCTTGCACAGCTGGCTGCCTTTTCCTCTTGTGTGTTAAGAATGGTTTTTCTACT